GCACTGGGAATTGACACCAAATAGCACCAGTCAGTGGTGGAAATAATACCAGACAGTGGTGGAAATAATTATCTATGGTGCGACGCCTACAAGTTGAAAAAATAAGACAAAATCATTTTTTTCTGAGATCGTTTGACTACACCTTTCGAAAAAAATTCATGAAAAATTGGAGACTCTCGGGCGGTCAGTCATTTCAGCTCCGCCTCGTAGCAGTGAGCTTGTGCCAACGAACGACCATCCGCTCTCCTCTTTGAATTACCTTCTAGAGGAGAAATATCACTAGAGTCATCATGATCAGAATCGACATCCAATTTTCCTTCGATCAGAACTCTATGGAACTCTACAGGAAACACTGTACAACAACCCTCGCTTTGGTGATGTGTTGGTTGTAATGGTGATGTATACTATGCTGAATAAATACATCAAAGTGATAAAACAAATAATCGAAAAACACCACAAAGACACCAACAAAGGTGTCTCAAAAATTGTGGACCGACCATGCGTTGCACTGCAAACTCAACACATTCGGAAATCGGCATAATAAATGAGTAGACGATCCCTGATAGGCTCGAATGAAAAGTAATCAAATTGAGCGAATAAAAACGATGAAGATACTGTCAGTATACGCACCTTCGAAGGCCCATGATAACAACGCCGTGGAAGAATTTTATGAAGCGTTCGACAAAGCAATAAGCAGCTCCCGAAAGGGACTTATGTCGTGTGCGCTGGAGATTGCCCAACTGGGTAGAGGAGAATCTGGAGAGACTGTGAGACCTTGTGGAATCCCACGACGGAATGATCGAGGAAAAACCATGGCTCAGTTTTGCAAAAGATGTCGACTATCGGTAACTAACTCATACTTCCGAAGATTCTGGTCGTAGATGGACCTACCACACCCCGAACCGGTAAATAATTCACGAGATCGACTTCTTTCTGACAAACTGCTTGCGTCTTTCCCGTAATGTAGGAGTCATTGGAGAATCATACTTCAATATTGGGCAAGATCGTTGCTCAGTTCCTGCAACAGTAGCACTAAAGCCGAAAGAAGAACGGAGGCGTTTAGCTGTATACCATTCCAGACGATATTGATATGAGCTCTCTGATGAAACACTGAAAACGGTGGTGGTGTCCGTTCCAAGTGGTGCCACGGAGAACTGCTCACCTTTGAGAGTTGAGCTAAACGCGGACATCGAATGCAGGCGACAAGCCCCGGGACAGGCCGGCCTACGAACACCCACGTCACATCACAAATGTCATGTCGGTGAGTATCGAAATAATGCTACGGCGTCTGCGGGAGCCGACGTGCACTCGCAGAGTGTGAAAAGTATGCGAGGGTCTGCGGTGCAAGGACGGCATCGGGGGAACTAGGCTAGTCCAAAAGTCCCGCAACGTATGGAAGGTTCGCGTTGCAGCATTGATCGTTGGCACATTGACAGGTCGCTCGTGCGAGTTTGTAGAAGCACTGGAGCGGAGAAGAATTGGATTTCTGTGCCGTGCAGGAAACGAGGTGGTCCTGCTTTACGTCGAGGGACATTGGTCGCGGCCTTGAAGTCGTTTAGTGTGGCAGTCCCAGGACAACCAGCGGTGTCGGTGTGGTCGTTTGTGAATGTTTCCATGATTCTATTGCGAATGTCGAACGTTACGATGACCGCTTGATGAAGATCGTTGTCGAAAGCAGCGTCAATACCACATATTCTCTGCATACGCTTCGCAGACTGGCTGCTTCGAACGAGCCAAGAACGAGTTCCCTGAAATCAGCTGAATTACCACCAGAGGACGCTATTATTGTCGCAGGTGACCTTAATGGACACGGATCTGCGAAAGATTGTTGATTGCGATGGTTACAGTTGTTATGGTGGGTTTGGTTATGGGTCACGAAACGCCGATGGTGAGCGAATTCTTGAATATGCAAGCTCTCACAATCTCACCATCGTGAACACAAACTATCGTTAACGTGACTCACACCTCATCACGTACTACAGCAGTAATACTAGAACTCAGAATGATTTTGTCCTCGTCAGGCAACGTGATCGAGGGCTAGTGACGGACGCGAAGACAGTGCCGTACGAGACAGTCGCTACGATCGACCACTGATTTGCACACTAAAGGCTGTCCCTCCAGGGACCAAGAAAGCCGATCGGTGTGGGCCTGCAAGGATTAGGTGGTGGCGATTGAAAGAAAAGGAATCTGTCCTGTTCAGTCGCATTTGGCCACCGCCAGTAACGACTGTCGACGAAACATGGAAACGTGCCACAGAAGCGATATTCCGTGTTGCTCACTTCGAGCTTCTCATTACGAAGCCTGGACGGCGGAAAATCGGTAGGCAGACATGGCTGTGGACCGACACTGTCAAAGAAGGCAGCAAAGAAAGCTGCGGCTATTGCTAGAGCAGTTCATCTCGATGGCGTTAGTGAGAAGCTCGAGATGCGCGACGGCGAACCCTATATTTACAAACTAGCCAGGGCTCGCCATCGCCAGACTGATATCGAGAAGTTCTTCGGCATTAATGACAGGAATGGAAGACTCGTAATGGACCCCGAGAGGGCTGTGAAGCGGTGGCACGACTACTTTTAAAAAAAATTCTTGACAGTAGAATTCCACACCCGTCAACCCCTTCCGCTCCTTCGGTCCACGGCCCTGTCCCGAAGATAACTGTGAGCGAAACAGGGGCGGCTTTGAAGAAGATGAAGACAGGTAAAGTAACGGGTCTCGACGAATTGGCGGCCGATCTGTAGAAGCCACAGGGCTGGAATCCAGCAGAGTGGCTGACGATCTTCTTCAACCAAGTCGCTGCAGAAAAGAAAGTGCCGGAGAGTTGGCAACAGCATGAAGGTATTCGAACAAATTGTAGATTCGTGACATAGTCCAGCTTACCGTGAACCAGTGCCGCCTCGTGACTGGCTGCGGCACCATTGGTGCCATACACGCCGCTCGTCTTCTGCTAGAAAACACCGTGAGAAACAAAAGCCGGTGCATTTTGCCTTTCTAGACTTGGAAAAGGCTTTTGACCGTGTTCCACGTGAAGTGTGTATACGGTACTTCTCACGTATATGGTACGTCTTACGAGAACATGGCGTCCTCGAAGAGCTTATTGAGGGGTTCGCATGCTTCACTCAACCAAAAGAAGCCGAGTGCAAATGTCTGCTAGCGTTTCAACGGAATTCCCCATCTCTGTTTGGGTACATCAGCGCTCTGCGCTCGCCGCACTTCTTTTTGTTGTCGTCATGGATGCCATCTCACGTGATCTTTAGGAACGGGCTCCATGGTTGCTCCTCCACGCTGATGACGTGATGCTCGCCTGCGAAGACAAAAACGTACTCGAACAACAAGCGCAAGCTTGGTGCGATCGCCTAGCGATGTTCGACTCAGATTGAACGTTAGGAAAATTGAGTACCTGACAAGCGACACAAGCGAGTGCGATTCTATCAAAATAAATGGAATAGAGTTGGCACGTACAACGACATTCAAGTACCTCGGATCAGCAATTGCGTCCGATGGCAGTATATGTACTGACGTGAACTCGCGTGTGAGTGCGGCTTGGTCCAAGTGACGTTCTATGACGGGAGTTGTCTGTGACAAGAGAATCACAGAACGCGTCAAATCCAAGATTCTATAGGACAGTCATAAGACCAGTGGCATTGTATGGCGCTGAGTGCTGGCCAGCGACTAGGGATACTGAAAGTCGCATTGGTGTAATGGAGACAAAGATGCTGCGATGGACGGCTGGTGTCACGCGATTAGATCGCGTTCACAACGATGCCATACGGGAACGCTTTAGTGTAGCTCCCATTGCTGATGAAATGCGTGAGGCCCGACTTCGATAGTATGTCCACGTTCTTCGCGGAAATGATGACAGTGTTCGCAAGATCGGCCTCAGCATATACGTGCGTGGAAAGAGGCTTAAGGGCCGCCCAACAGCGCTGGCTCGATACATTGCACGCTGACTTGAAAATGGTTTACATCCACCCCGATTAAGCGTTTAATCGGGAAAAGTGGCGACAGCACATCAGAAAAGCGGACACCACCAACAAGCGGGACAAACGCTGAAGGATAAGAAGATGAAACACTGAAAACGCCGCCTAAAAGGTTGAGCGCTGTTACTATGCGAATGTTGGCGATCATAAAGGAATCAGGAGAAGTGTGACACACTTGGCTCGGACTGTGAACATTAAAGCTATTCGCTACAGAGTAGAAAACGATTACGTGAGTACGCTGCACGCAGAGCATGAGAAGCAGCTGAGAAAACAACAAGCATCAAAAGAACCTTTGTGAGCAGTCGCCTGAAGAATATGAGCCCTGAATGCCTGACGAAAGCGGACGTCACTATCATACGGAACCGCAAAGATATAGAAGGAGGATTCAAATATTTACCGAAACTTTATTTTCCACTAAGGTTCACCGTACTCGACGTCATTCAAAGGTGATAACGATGCATCTAATAAAGAAGTATGGAGAGTTCTTGATTCAGAGGTGGCACAGCCATCCGACAAACGAAAATTGGAAAAGTTTCCGGACCAGACCAAATCCGACTTAAACACTTGAAATGCCCAAATTCCTGCCGAAGCCATTAGCTGATTTATTTACAGAAATGCTTGCATCAAGAACACTTCCAAAAGATTGGTTGAGTTCCCAAACTGTCTTATTCCATAAGAAAGTACCGCGCGACATCCTGGCTTATTCGCGCCCAATTGCGCTTCTATCGGTGATACTCAAGGTGTTCTCATGCATCACTTGAACCGCATTCGTCAGAGCCTTAATATGAGTACGTGTAGAGAGCAAGCCGGCTTCCGCAACGGGTTTTCCACCATTGATCAGATTCACGTGGTCTCTCAACAGACGAAAAGATGTCGAGAATACCGAATCCCTCTGTGGTGTATAGGAATGACCTGATGAATAGTTTGATCATAATCAGCTACTCCCTACCCTATATAAGCGGACCAGAGTAGGGTCGATCACTTTATTGTGTTGTGTTCCGGTCTACAATCAAACGGTCGTCTCAGTCGTCTACATTGGAGAGAAGAACACAACAACTGGCGATCAAGGAGCGTAAGAATGGATTAATCGCAGATGATGGCAGTCTCCAAGGAGATACTCAAAGAACAGACGAGGTAGGCAGAATTGCAACTCGAAGAGCAAAGGGGGCAGAATCGAGAGTTGGTTCAAATGCTCCAGTGCCGTCCGGAAATCAGAGCTGGCGACAAGGATCGGACTGAAGAAGTCTCGACGCCAAATGTCACGCCCGCACTGAGTAACCGAATTGAGAAGTTTGTATCCTACGCCGAATTGGAGATGGGATTCTCCAGATGGTAATCAAGATACAAGGAAGCGTTCACAGAAGATGCACGACAACTTCCTGAAGCGGCAAGGGTAAGATGTTCTTGTGAAAAACTTGATAACGTTACCTTTGATAAGTATTAGCGACAAGTATTTCCAAGGAACGTGTCAGACATCGGGTATCAAGAAACTGTGGACAACCTGAAGTACTTGCTCGACTTTGAAGCGTCCGAGCTCACCACCAAGTGTCAATGAACCTTGAAAAGAGCGCCAACGAGGATCACCTTGCGTACGGTAGAGTCAGCGAATTTTGTGAGAAAGCAAAACTTCATGACTTATTAGGTTGTCCCATAAGTTCGTGTCACTTTTTTGCAGCTCATGCCAAAACTACATTTAATTTCTGAATATTAGTAAGTAGGCTACAAAAAGCCCACTTCGTGGAGTAACCTATATGCGAACCACGCTCACCTTAGCTGCTTTCTTCGAACTTAAAACCGAAAACGATAAGAGCCACACTTCGAATTCTGGACTTCTGCTGAGCCACAAGTCGGTCGAATCCAGGAGTTACGCTCAATCAGTGTACTCCTCTTCGTCGTCGTTCTTCATGAGGTATCGAAACGGTGCAGCCTGCCTCTCTCTGGGGACTACAGCCTAAAGAAAATCCTGACCTGGAAAGGCAATCGGTGTCCGATTCGGACCTGCTGTGCTCCCCCATTAAAAAGCTACCCGCACGACTTCCTTTCCTATGTGACCGCTACACGCAGTCGTTTCAAATACACGATTGATAAAAGTCTGCACTCCTCTGGGAAGTTATAGAGGCTTGGACAAAGAAACCCCCATGAACTGACCGTTACTTACAAGAGTGCAACACGAATTCTGTCAACTTCTTCTGAGCTATTGCATCTCTACCCTGTGGTTGAACAACGGCGTCACTGCTGCTGAGAAGTGGTTTTTCTATGCTATAGACCTGCGGAAGCATCAGCGGCTAGATCGATCAAAAAGAGTTGAAAAATTGTCAAATGCAGATAGCCGTGTAGGCTCACGTATGGGAAGCAAATCTCGAAGAAGCCACCGAGAACTTTTCAACAGCTCCGGCCTTTTAACAGCCTAGGTCTCCTTCAAACAAGGCTGGAAGCTGGTCAGAAAACTCCAATTATTACGTACAAAATTTAATAAAGTACGTCCGTTCCGCGATAACCGAGACCACCTGTTTCGTAAATATTGTACGGTCTGGATTTTGAAGATCAGCTAAAAAGTGCGAACAGGTCCATCGTACAGCGGTGGTGAGCCTCCCCCCAGAGGCCAACCACTCATCTTGCTAAGTTAGCACCTTACCGACGAAAAATAGATTCAAAAAAGGTGCTCAAAATCGACCTCACAGCCTTTTTCAGCTTAAAACTGCCGAACTTTTAGGAGCACGGTGTCGACACTCTGGTGGATCGTTGGCATCAAGTCACTGATAGTACCAATCGACATGTTGATGATGGATATTGGTTTTGTGAAATAACCTTAACTCAAAAAAATGGTCGAAAGTGGCACGAACTTTTGGGACAACCTAATAGATTCGGATGGCGTCAAATGCTTGCTGTGGACATTCGGGCTGAAGTCGCATACAAAAGTAGAAATACGGCAACGAGTGATTGCAATGCTCGACAGGGAATTCAAGGCAGGTCGAAAATTTCCTTACATGAATTGTACCAGGAATGCGAGAATTCCTTGAGTATTTGAGTATCAAGGATTGCGAGACCATTGCCGGAAATGTTAAAGCCGTAGAACAGAGGAAAAAGATCAAAAACCCATTGAATGCTGGAGCTGCTAAGGGACACACTTCGCAAGGAGATGTAAAAAAAACCGTGGTTTTGCAAGAAGTGCAAGACAAGTGGTCATCGAGAGAAATTCTGCGACATTGCGAATCAGAAAAAGGAGGTAAGCTCACCAATACATCGAGAAGAAACTATCACCGCAGCGACAAAAAGAAACATGCTGAGAGCGATTCCAAGAAAAACGTTTGCTCCACAGAGATCTCAAACGGTTCTGCGAATGTTAACGTCACACATGCAGTTGTGTATCGATGCAGTTGTGAACGGCCATAGGTCAATTTTCTATTAGATACCGGATCAGACATAACGTTACTAAATGAAGACGTCTGGACGAACATGGGATCTCCGAACTGAGAAGGCAAACGTTACTATGAAAAAGGCTAGTGGTGATCGTGTGAATATCCGAGGAAAGCTGAAGTGTACAATTGACATGAAAGGCAGCAAAAGTCTAGGATACGCCTAAGTGACACCGTATAACTCGCTAATGGGACTCGAGTGCAGAATAACAAAGAGATGCTGCATTACATGTAAATGATGGTTGCAGAGCTTAACACGAAGCGCAGCTCCCATGTGGAAGTAGAGCTGAAGAAGAAATATCTTGGAGTATTTAGTGAAGGTCTCGGAGAATGAACCGATCTCACACTTTTACACAATGCTCGTTCCGTATTCAGTTGCAGTCGTTCCGATGCTAACGCTGCCCTAGAATCTTTTAAAATGGAACTCAACAGACTCCAAGAGATGGGTGTTATTACTTCAGTGAGCCATAGCGAATGGGGTGCACCAATTGTATGTGTCAAGAAACCAAAGGAAAAAATCAGAAACAACTAAAATCCTTAACAAATCCCTACAGTCTTTGATTATCCCCTCCCCACACCCGAAGACGTGTTTGCGTTTCTGAATGGGGGAACCGTATTTTTCAAAATAGACTCGCCTATGCCTATCTCCGGATTGACCTGTCTGAAGAATCTAAGAAGAAGGCCGTGATAACACACACGAAGGATTGTTCCAGTACAATCGTCTGCCTTTTGAATCAAGACAGCGCCTGGAATTTTCCAGCAAATTGTGAACAAAATGGTAGTAGATCTTGAAGGGGTTACGGCATATTTGGATGATATCCTGGTATGCTGAGCAACGGAAGAAGAGCGTAATAGGAATGTCCTAAAGCTGTTCGGAAGAATTGCTGAGTATGGATTCAAATTGGGCATGGACAAATATTCGTTTGCAAAGTATCTTGGACTCGTCGTCGATAATAATGGTAGGAGGCCGAATCGTCAGAAGATTGAAACAATAAAGAACATGACCGAGCCGAGAGACGTTAAGTAGGTACGCCCATTCCTAGGAATGTTGACGTATTACTCAACGTTCATGCCGTCTATGAGAAGTCTACGTGGATCCTCAGATACAATGCTGAAGAATGGTGTAAAGTGGAAATGCGTCTGTTCGGTAAGATGCATTTGAGAAGTTGAAATCAACGTTGTCTAGTGATCTGAATCTTGCTCACTACGATCTCAAAGAGAAGATCGTTGTAGCCGCAGATGCACGCGAGTGCGGATTTGGATGTGTGATCTCACACAAATGCGCTGATGGTACTGAGAAACCAATAGCCCATGCTTCTCGTTCGCGGCTCGGACGCTGAAAGGAACTACGATTGAGAAGGAAGCACTTGGATTGGTGCAGTGAAAAAGTTTCACAAATACATTTTTGGAAGGAAGTTCCTTCTGCTAACAGATCACAAGCGATATTCGGAGACAAAAAAGGAGTTCCAGTGTACTCTATAAATCGACTTATGAGACGGGCAACTATCCTGCTGGCATACGATTTCGACATTCAGTATGTTAATACGACAAAGTTTGGCCAAGTCGGCGGACTATCAAGAGTGATGCAAAGAAGGTGTCGTGATAGCAGCAGTAGAAAATGAATTATCAGAGCAGCAGAGGAACTGCATAAAAAAACCACCGCCAACTCATAATGATGTCAAGCTCTACACGGAACAAGACGCAGTGCTAAGTAAAATCAAATTGTTGATGAAGCATGGAAAATGTCTCAAGGGTGATTAGGAGTTATTGCCATTTCATGTAAGAAAAGACATTCGCTCGTTGAAGGATGTCTCATGACTGGATATGACATCCCAAATAAGCTGCAGAGCAGATTGTTGAAGGAACTACACGTTGGTCACCCTGGCATCGTGCGATTGAAGAAGATAGCCCGAAGCTACCTGTACTGGCCTAACATTGACAATGATTGTGAAACCGTCGTACGAAACTGTTCTAGATGTCAAGAAAACGCGAATAACCCAATCAAAGCGACATTGGAACGTTGGCCGACTTCTACGCATGTATGGCAAAAAATCCATGCGGATTTCGCCGGACCAATGGACGGAAAATAATCTGGTCGTGGTCGATGCATTCAGCAAGTTGCCGGAAGTGGCTTTTGCCGCAAACTGTTGTGAGCGGTAACGGAACTCAGTTTCTGTGTGCAAGCTTCACGTCGATGTGTGATCAGAGTAATCGTACACATAACCATCGTACCCTTATCATCCTCAATCAAATGGACAAGCAGAAAGGTCTGCAGATACGCTGAAATGAGGTATAAACAAATTCAGAGGTAAAGGAAGACCGTCCGAAGAAACTTTGAATACTATCCTGCAAGCCTACAGAACCACAACAAACAGCTGTTCACAAATAAAGACTCCGGCAGAATTATTTCTGAGAAGGGAAATCCGTACTCGATCAGGCATGCCAATGCCAACTTCGTCAAGCACAAGGGACTACTTCGTAGAGAAAAGGCATGAAGAAATGAAAGAACAACTCAACAGACATGGTGCTGTCAAAGGAAAGTTTGCTGTTGTAGAAGCCATATATGCCCGATAGTGGAAGTCGACACAATTTGTCTGGGAAAAAGGCACCATCAAGAGGTGCCTCGGGTCAATTAGTTATGAAGTAGATGTGAATGGAAGACTCGTTAAGAAACACGTGAACCAACATAGACGTCATCATGAAGACATACTGGCAAGTAGAGGAAATTCGATGTTGACAACGCTACTGAACGACGTTCGTGATGGTCAGCAAAACAAACCTGCAGAGGAATCGACCGATCAAGCCGCGGATGGCGAGACGCAGAAAATTGATTGTCGGAAAAGTGAATTCCGACGACGTACATCCAAAATCCGGCCACCGCTAAGAAGATCAAGAAGACCCGTCGAGAGATAACTCGTGTGTAGTTGTTCTGTTGAGGTATTATTGCGCCCCCTTGAATTGTAACTGTAGTGAAAAAAGTATTTTCCTACTGGGGGGAGACCTGTGTATAGGAATGAGCTGATAAATAATTGATCATAATTAGCCACTCCCTTCCCTATATGAGCAGACCAGGGTAGGCTCGAGCACTTTATGGTGTTGTGTTCCGGTCTACAATAAACCGCTCGTCTCAGTCATATACTTCTGGAGTGAAGAACACAACATCCTCTATGCTATCTCTTCATTACCTTCAAGAAATTCGATACAGCTAAACATCAGGCAGTGTTAAACGCCCTCATTACTTTCAGAATTTCTCGAAGATGTGTTGAAATAATACGACAGTGCAATACGAGCTGCTACACTGCCGTGAAATTACTTGGATATCCGATCCGTGTCAATATGCAAGGAGCGAAAAACTCCAATTTCTGCTCTTTCCAGGTAATATCGTGTTTATCGGTAATAATCCAGGTACACTGGAGAACTCAGTGAAGATTTTAAGGAATGTTGCTCGCTCTATCGACTTGAGATCCACCCAGGAAAAATTAAATGGATGGAGAATACTTTCACGAGAGACACCTGCTTACGCATGGAAAGCTCAGTCATTGAAGTCTCTTTCTAGTCAGTCAATCACAATGAAAATTTCTCAATCGAAATAGGGCGACGCCGTAAAGGAGGATGGGCGACATTCAATAAATATGATGTACTTAGTGATAGGCGGCATAACGCTCAAATCAAAGTCCAAGTGTTCAAGACCCATGTGTTAGCGGATTTGGTGTATGGAAGTGAAACGTGGAGCACAATCGAAGAAGAAGAGAAAAAACTGTTGTTAACTCAAGGAACAGTGGAATGAGCAATGTGCGCTGTGACCCTATTGCATAAAATTCCTGCTAGTGAAATTCGAAGTGAACACTTGTCAGAGATGTGATTGAGACTACTTATGACTCGAAGCAGGCCATGTTGCTCGTCTTAACCGTTGCACATCCCAAGTGACCAATTGGCATACCCGCGGAGTAAAAAGGCCGCAGGGTAGATTCCCAGAAAGGCGAAGTGATCCTTTAAGAAACTTTTTGGCAAGAAATCGAAGCGGATAGCATAGAAAAGCGGACATCAAGGTATGTATGTATTATATGTACGTCCATCCCCGTTACCTCAAAGCGGTGAGATGGTGTAAACTCACTCGATGGAAAGACCACTCGTTGTCGCCGGAGCAATGACCTGTCGAGTGAAACGGGCGGGGAAAGGATTGGTGGTTCAATGAGTTGTGGCTATCTTGATATTGCTTGAAAATAAAACTTATCATTTGCTGAAGACTTGTTTGAGTTGATGCAATCGACTTCTATAAAGTGAGCCGGTCATTCCGATACAATGTGCACGTAGCACTACAAAAGAACGCATAAGTAGGGATGCTCTAATGACAACGCAAGTTACGTGACGCAATTGGCGACTTTCATGTTCTGACATGCCTTATCAGCCCTTATCACTTGGAATCACTTTCAATCGCCCATCAACATGTTTCCGTCTCAACCCTCATAACACTTGTCAGTATGGATGCTCTGGTGTCAATGCGAGCGGCGCACCGGAACTGACGACTTTTGTGTTCTGACGCGCTTTATCAGCCCTTATCAGTTGCAATCACTTTCGATCTCCCATCAACAATGTTGCCGTCCAACCCCATATAACACTTGTAAGTAGGGACGCTCTAATGACAACGCGAGATACGTGACGCAATGGCGACTTTCGCGCTCTGACGCGCCTTACAAGCCCTTATCAGTTGCTATCGCTCTCTGTCATGCTCTGCTCTAGCACCAATATGAAAGACAAAACGAAATTGGCTATGCTTGCTTTCTAGCCCCTCTTATCAGCTATTATAATTCGTTATCAGTTTCTATCATATGCCACTTGTGTCCCCATCCCATCCCCTATAACATATGTAAGAACTCCTGCGCTATCGTTGCTGTGGCTCGAGCTACGAATTTCGTGACAAACACATACACAGACCTACACACACACAGACATACTTTTAACATTTTCTCATTTCTTTTAACATTAACAGATCCCATACAAGGCCCTGTTAGGATTTCAGCGGCCTCAAAAAATCATCAACCATATATGTCGTGCCTCCTCAATGTTGATAACAAGGTTCATTGTTTCGTTGAATTCAAGTTTACTACAATAATTGGAAAATTTACTGGGGATTCGATCACAATCGGGAGTTTCTTGTGAATAGATTTTTTATTCGCTGCTCTTTTTCCCATTCAACATTAATATACCAGTTCGATGAGAGGGGCTCGCTTCCAGAACAAGCTCGAAAAACTGATTTGAAGCAGAAGGAAAAAATTATAGTCGATAAAGGATTCCAGTGGAGACCTTTGAGCTCTGCTTATAATACACCAGTTTAACTACGCACGATACCGCGCATGACACGGAAGGCTTCCGTGAAATGGATAGCCGTTAAGTTTCACCGCTTAACAATAAGTTACTTCCTTAGGTGTTTTGGCTGACCGTTGCATGGCCTTTACCTAAAGCTCACTGTTTGATAAGAACAAGCACTGCGTTGAAGTGATCTCTGAAAACAGCCACCATGCATTGAATATCAGTGCAATTCATCGGTCGACTAATATTTGATGTTGAAATGAGAAAACCCTCGCTCTTTATCGTAATCATTTTATCAAACGTCCACCATACATTCTCAGGAACTGTGGGGAGTGTTGCGGTGACATGGGATTTTAGACTGAAAACGACAATGCATACGACATGATGTTGAGATGAGATTATTTGGGGTACGGTTCTTGGTAAGCTCTATGTTTTAACGCATATCTTTATGATCAGTCCTTATTAGCCACGAACTCCGTGAAATTTACGTTCTAGCGCCTTTTGCCGCTATTTTCAGTCTTTATCACAATCTGTCTCTCAACAAACGTGTTCCCGTCCCACTTTTTCTCACTAATGCTGAGACGCGCGGATATCGTGAAGTATTCTATTCTGGCGCTTCTTATCGGATCTCATCAGCCGTTATCGCTTTTAGACCCCCCTCAAATATGTTTCCGTCGCCACCCTGTATATTACTTCTAAGAACCACCGCCTCACTGCTGCTTGGACCGCCCTATGAACTCCGCGAGATTTGCGTTTTGGGGTCTTTTATCAGCTCTTACCAGTTGTGATCGCTTTCTGATCAGTATGTTACACCCATCCCCTATATCTCAGAATCGAATCTCGACGACTGCTGCGGTGCGTGCTATGAATTTCGGGACGCACGCATAGACACACGTACAGACAGACATAACGCCTTATATAGGGTAGTGATATCATCAAAATCTGATACAGATTTTTTTTACTATTTTACGGAAAAAGTCTCCCAGTAAAAACATACAGTGGTAATTTGCCTTCGATTCCTTCAGTTGCAACAGTACTGGTTTGGATACCCTTTCCTCCGGTCCTGTAACGGTAAGGATAGATTAGCCCACTCTCAGAACATGGACTTTTTATGATGAAATGAAAATCGCGGTGTAACTGAAAGAAAACCATTCATGTTACAGGGTGTACAAAACCTGCTCGATGGAGTAGCGGATACACTGTATCCTCATGTGACACAGAATCATAGCTCGTCGTTCTACTGCAGATAACTGCACATTATGCTGTACCCCAGCAGATGGCTGCCGAACCTTTCTAAGTCGCCCGACCAGCTTGGGGAATAAGGGCGGCTCCACTGAACTACATGTTCTTGCTCATGGCTGCTTTGTACCTGCCATTCAAGCTCCTCGTACTTTAGCTCATGCGAGATCCCTTCCAGCTGTCTCACGCAGAAGGATCTGTCCTAAATGAGTAGCTTGTCTGTTATCTATAGTGATGGAACCGTTTGTAAGGGGTGCGGGAGTTCTGGTACGTCCGGGGATGCACGCGGTGGGTCGCGCGGCGGGCCGCGCGGTGATCAGAACGAGGCAAGTCTTCGCGGGCTTCTGCGCTGGTATCCAACGCGTCAGAAGTGAGCAGATCGCAGATAGAATTCACAAGGTTATGCGATTCGAATTACATTCCAACGCATGGATGGTTAAAGGCAGCGGCAGGAAGAGAAGAAAAGGCATAGCAAAAGGCTGTCATAGCAATTAGGGCGCTTAGGTTGCCGGCGCCTGTTGTTAAAGGGGGGGGGGAATCC